CGGGACGGAGCCGCCGCGAAGGGGCCGCGGCACTTGTGACCGTGCGGGTTTGTCGACGCTCCTCCTGCTGCTTCTCGCCGCCGTTGCGGGTAGCAGTTGAAAGCGTGCTCTTGTTTTAAAAAGTCCTTTTGTCGCTTGCTGCGTGCGGTGATGGGTTTGGTTTTTTTTCAGGCTGCGATTTGCACGGTGCGAAGTTTTGTACAAAAGTGGCAGTGTGCGTGGTGGTGATAGTTGTTGTTGGTGGTGGTGGTGGGTTTTTTTAAGCAATTCAGCTCTATGTTTTTTAAAAACGTGTGGCTTTCTTCATGCTTTCAGAGGACACAAAAGCTAAATGCATTCGCGTTAGGCATTTGAAATAGGCATTTGAATTGTCTTGAGGTGAACTTTCTTATTTTAATCAGGCGTGGGGAGTGCCAAGGGTAGATAGGCTGCGTAGCGCTTATTAATTAAAAATTTAGACGGTGTTATGTAGCTTCATGGTCACAGCGTTTCTCTGAACATGTGTCAGAGTAAAAGGTCTGCGCAGTGGAAAGCTGCCACATGATCTGGAAAAAGCGCAAGCCCACGGTACGCAAAGATCGTCCAACGTGTTAATTTGGTGCTGCCTCTCCAGTCGCATGCTGGAGATTTGGAGCGTGATTGACGTGAAAGTATTAGTTTTGAAATACACGGGAAAATATGTTGTGTAATTGAAGCTTGGTAGGGAATAGCTCATGCCTGGCATTATGTATGACATGGTAGGCTGCTGCGGATGTGTACATGACAGCAAGGTTTCTTGGGCAGGGATCACGCGCTGTTCTACCTTCTAAAACAAACAAACAAACTCTTCCCCCACCTCCCAACTATAATATTTCTAAGGTATTAAATCTCTACAGTAACGTTCTCCATGTTGTCCTGGTACGTTGAGGACTTTTTAAGAATGATGGAGGCAGAAATGGGAGTTCAGGAAGATAGGTTGATTTCCAGTTTTGCTACTTTATGCTGTATGAAATGGATGTAAACAAAGAATCCATCTTTACCTAAATTCTTAATCTGGCTGAAGTGGCAGTAGTTTCCCTTTAGATTAAAAAAAAAAACATTTAAACAGTCCAGAAATAAACTAATATTTCTTTTACCTTAATCTGTTTTCTGCTGTCTCTTAAGTTTTCTATTTCACCTCGGCTCCCCGGCTTCTTCAAATTGTGGATATCTAATTTAAGATGATCTCTTTTTTTCACATCTGAAAAAAAAAAAAAGTACTGCTTTATATTAAGATATGTCGTCAGCATGGTTGTGCCTTTGCCCTAGTGTTGGTTAGATTATTGATTTGGCTATGTTTTCCTTACGTGATTTTTGGCATGGCATGAAGGATCACATGGTCATGTTTTTAGTTTTTCTGCAGATGCATCCCTCTTCCTCCCCCCCTCCCCTCCCAAAACTGTAGAAATTGGAATTTCTGCAGCTATAGCGAAGTCCCTCTGTGACTTCAGAGACGCTGGAATTTGAGGGTTCTTGCTCATCTCGCACAGGAGTCAGACAAAATGCACCATTCCTTCAAGGAGTTTGGTTTTAATTAGGTCTGGAGAATCCAAGGACTTCCTAGCTTTCACGTTCTGTCATTTCTAATGTCATGGGAATGTAGATCAGTGGGTGTTAATTACAGGCAGTTTCCCCTCAGCTCCAGAATTAATATGAGTTGACTTATTTACCCACGCGTGCGCGCACACACACACACACACAATTATATATTTATATATGCACATGTGTGTATGTATAAATATAGATGTAAAAAAGCTGCAGTTTAAAATGTTTGATTGCACTACTTTCATGCTTTCCGTTCTTGTTTGATCATTTTATGCAGTGATACGGTTTGGCTGTGAGTGAGCGTAGGAATGGTTGCACACCGGGTTTAATGAAAAGGAATTTTGATAAGAAATCTCCTTAGAAAACGTGTCTGAGATCTCTCTCGACGTGTAAATAGTCAGCTGGATTCTCACTGCTGTGTTCGGAGGAAAGGATTTCCTCGAGGTGCTCCAGGAATTGCTGGAGGAGTTTAGTTTGTTTTTCCTCAGAGACGCGAATTAGCCTGACCCTCCGTCTAAAGAGCTGGGTGGCAAAGGGCAACGCGTAAAGAAATAAAAGAAGAGATGTAGCTTTGCAGACTGAATTACCTGGACGCCTCCTGTGTAGTAACACAGCGGTGTTGGGGTGACTGCGCGCTGGAGGCGCCGGGGGCGGTGGTGGCGGTGGAAAATACCCGGAAGTCCTGCAGCGAAATCAATGAGTTTGCCTTCCATGAGTTAAAGCTCAGTAATTCTGCTCTAATGCAAATGATTTTTGTCTCCTATAGGAATGGTGAGACAGTATCCCAATTGTTTTTGGTTTGTATATGCTGCATTGTGTATTGGCAAACTAAATAAAAAAAAATCTTGGTTTTTTTTTTTGTAACATCAATTTTAAATTCGCTGCAAACAGAGACTACTTTTATTTATTTAGAACTGGGCGATACAATCCTATTTCGAGAGTGTTTTGTATCGGAAGCTTGGTATTAAAGGAAGCTTTATCATCATGCCCCTTAGACTGCTATGTTATACGTCCAGACTTGGATTTCTCCTTGCAATCTCTGCGAATCTTGTTAAAGAAAGACAGAAAATTATAATTTGTTGTGAAATGCCAAAACCAAAAAAACCAGCCACCACCAATGCTAACTTTTATATAAGTAGCTGATACAAATAAAATAAATAGTTTAGTAAGTAGCAACAATGTAACAAAGCTCTGTTAAATGTGTCCAAAACATTTAGATTTCTGATTTCCTCATGGAAAAGATTCTTTCTGCTTTCTGCTTCTGACATTATTTTTCAAGATGAAAAATGAAAGCATAAAGACTATGTAAACAACAGACAAGGGGAGGTAATCAGGACTTAAGCAGTAAATCAGTATAATATTTTAAGAACTTTTTGCTGTCCTAGCAAGTGGCAAAACTTCAGTAGCCTGTTGCTTTTCTAACTCACATAAGTGCTAATGTCCGATGTGGATTGACCTAGAGCTCAGACATTTTTGAAAGTGACCAGAA